TATATATATATATATATATTTGAACTTTTAAATTTTTAAAATATTAATTAGAATGTGCAAATATTAGAATGTTAAGATTTTGAATTTTGACTTAAAATGTTTGATGATATTTACAAATATATTAATGTTTCTTTTTTAAAACGTATTGTTTTTTGTTCTCATGTCTCAATAGCTTATAAAATGGAAGAAATAATTTTCTCTTCAATTTGACAAATTTTTGTTTTTTAGCACAGCAAAAAAATCAATCATATTTATTAAAATTAAAAATATATTTAAACAATTTTTATCAAACGCTGCTGGTTTGTGAATACCACAACAAGTATTCAACTAATGTAAGTGTAGTTGAATTTAGTCATTATAAACTATAAAACAATTCTTTGAAAATTTTAATATAATAGTGGTATAAGGAAACTTAAAATGGAGACTATTAGCTAAAAAATTGTGCCACTGACCGAAATCCATCTGATATTTATGTTGTGCTCTATAAAATGAAATGTTGGTTGTAAATAGTGCAATACAAAGCAATCACTTTATCTATTCAAAATCAACAACAGCAAATAACATAAAAAGCACACCTTAATTATTAGGTCACACAAAAATCCTCTACTTTTTGTTCAAAGTAATCTTTATTTTACCAAAGAAGCTTAGTCCCTGAAGTTATGCATAACTGAAAAATTAAGCTTAATCCCACACTTTCTGATTCATAAGATGAAAACAAGGTAGCCACAGTAAAGTCTAGGGTGTGACAGCAGTATTATCAGTGTGGCAACATTTATAACTGATGAAAATCTCCATTGTCCTGCCACACTCTGGGCATTTGATGGTCTCTGGTAACTTTCCTGCAATGTTAGCAATTTCAAGGTGTGTGCAGCGGTGAGTGGTGCGCACAATCCTTTCATGGTGCTCTTTGAAGGAGGACTCAAAGCCCTTTTTCAACACAACCTCTTTCCATTTCTCAAACTCAGCCACTGTCTTCAAGATTGTAGTTCCATGACCACACTCCACCACAGATGACCCTTTGCAAAGGACAACCCACCCAGATTCATTCTTGTAAGAAAGCATCTTTTGCACTTCTTGAGTCACAGCATCAACTGTGTTGTGAGCCTTTGTCACAAACAAACTCTCAATGCCACTCCAAAATCTCCTTAGGAAGCTTTTATCTTCTTTTTCCACACAAAACAACTCAATGTGAATATTTGCCTCCTTTAAAGCGACATCATTAACAAAGGCTGTTGCATACTTGGTGAACTGCTGGACCCACTCTTTGTCGTTCCCTCCGTAGATGAGAATATACTTTTGCTCTCTGATCTGCATCTTAGATAGTCACACCAAAACCTTGTAATTAAGCTCTTTCCATTGCTAATGCCAACTTAAATAATACCAATGCTTCAGATAACATTTAAAGCCAAAATATTCAATATTTGAGTGCTCAAAATTCAACAACTATGGTATATATTTTGAAATCAATACTTCATTAATGTTTACATTTACAACTTTGCCAAAATACCCTAATTGATCTGCGAAATGTACTTACCCAGGTGCTTATGTTGGGGTGAGTATCCCCTACAACGGAACCAATCCAGTGAATTTCTCTATCAATTCTTTCTTGATCCGAAATAGTGAAGGGGAAGGCCTTCATTCCATAAACATGAATGAGATGGAATGCATTTGCATGTTGTACTTTCCCTTGAGGATTCAACACCACAACCATAGGCTTCTTTTTGAAGTGCCATTCCTCCTTAATGTACCTATACCCTGCTATTGTTCCATAGTGTTGTACCGCGTACCATGGCATCTTGCTTTTCAAAGCCTCAAATCTCTTATTCAACTTTTCAGTCCATTCTTCTACAATGGGAATCCACACAATCTTGTATTGATCATTAGTTTTAATATATTCATAAACTGGTCGGAGTACTGCAATCTCTTCTTCTGTAATATCTAGAGTGGAAATAAACAAGTAAACGTTCTTCTTCCTCAGCACACTAATTTCGACCTGCCCAAGCAACAAATGAATAAAGAAAAATGGTCATAACTTTCTTTATACAAAGCGTGCAATTTAATATTGTTGAAAAACAAACCATTTCTTGGTATTGGTTTTCTCTTTAATATACAATGATTGTAGTGATGCTCAGACCTAATGCCTCATGTATATTACGTTAATTTTTACTATTAAGCCGATCAAGTTAACGCTAGAATAATTTTGCACATATTTTTTGGGTATAAGATATTGTTAATTAGATTTAGTTAGTATCATATATTTACTTATAAGCAAGTTAAATTAATGTATAAATTTCTCCAATATCTTGTTAAGCACACTCTTACTATAAGATTATATGAACATTTAATTTTTATGTTTTAAAGTTTTATATTCTTTTCAAATATACTTTTTAATTTTAAATTAAATTTAATTGATCCTCAAAATTTCTTTTTTTACCATCTCAGTTTAGTTTTTTTTTATCTTTGTTTGTATACATGGTTTTCTTAATTACTTCTTTCTTTTAATTTATCTTTTTCTTCTTTATTTTTAAATTAAATTTAATACTTTTATTAAAAGAAATGACGAATAATTAAAATAACTTTGTTTCACAATATAAATTATTTATTATAAATAAAAATATAATTTATTTGTATAAATATATTTATAATAAATTTTAATTATATAATAAAATTTTATATTAAAAAATTATTATTATAAATTTTATTTATATTGTATTTTACTAAAAAACTAATAATACTGGAATAGATTTTACTCTTGCTTACACTACGTACTATCACTACAACAAAATTCATTTTTACCGAAAATTATTTATCGGCAATAAATTAATTGTCTTTGTTTTATTATTTAATAAAAGTATTAGTGACTAATATATAATGGTCATTAAAAATATAGTTATATCACACCAAAATTTACTATTAGCGACAAATATTTATTAAGAAAAACTTTAATCTCACATCCACTAGAAATAAGATAATTAAAGAGTATATAGATAAATAATAACTCTCACCTTACAAGTTTGTTATATAGGATTGTGTTAGACTTATAACTTATTATTCTAAATTAGTATGAGATTACTCATTATTATCAAACTCAATAATCCTTAAACTTAAGGGAGTCGACTATTGATTAGAAAATAATATGTATATATATATATATAATATAATTAGAAGATAACTCTCATCTTACAAGTCCCACATCAACTAGAGATAAAGTAATTATTTATATTTACTCATCTTACAAGTCCCACATCGACTAGAAAGTAAAAAATGTTACAAAAAGATATACACTTTTTTCGACCATTATAAGGGTTTTTACCAGCATTTTGAATAATTGCCGCTAAATGTTTTAGCGACACTGCATACAATGGCCAATGTGAAAATGCCGGTAATATTTTGAATAATTGCTGCTAAATGTTTTAGCGACACTGCATACAATGGCTAATGTGTAAATGCCGGTAAAATATTTTGTAACAATTTTTATTACCACTAAAAGTCATATTAAATGTCACTAAAAGTTTATTTTGTTGTAATGTATACATCATGTATTTTCTATTTAAGGTCGATGGAGTATAAAGAATAGATGGAGAAAAAAATTATGAGGGACAACAGAGTGCCCATGTACTGTGAGGCATGCATTTCATGAAACTATTATTCATGGATCTCTCTTTGTTATTACTAAATATTAGAAGTTAAATTAAAACGGTAAGATGTTGACAAAAACGTAATTTTGGAACTTTTTTTATCGAAACTTTATAATAATTTTGTTGAATGAGTCACCAACCGGGGTTTTAGTGGCACCATCATACAGTAGCTGCGGGGCATCCTTGGAGAAAACCAGAAACTTAAACACCTCCATTATTTCAGTAGGCGTTTGAAAGAATTTCCTGAGCCTGTGATGATACTCAGCCTCCTCTGTAAAGAAAATGACAAATAATCTACTTAGTACTTAGCATGTTGTTTGCAACTTCATGTGTCTTTTCCTTCAATTTTAATTTTTAATGCAATAATCTATGATTACTGACCGATCTGTTGTCTGCATAGCGTGATTTGTTTCCTCAGTTTGCTGAGAATGATGTTGATCTTTTGACCATAGTGGGACAGATCTTGCTTGTTCCCTCTAAAATCGAGCAATTATAGAAATATCAAACAGGTTAATTAAACCGTTAGTTTAATAGTAACAAGTGCTAATAAAACAGTAAATAAGTGAGTAACATATTATGCATATCTGCGTAGGAAATTCATATATTTACGTAGAGGACCAAGATAACCAAAACTTGTTTATTCCAATAACAGTGCATGGACGTTACTTACGTTTCAGTGGTGAGGTAATCAATCTGAGTTACAATGGCCACAATGGTGATGATAGCCCAATAGACATCAACAGGAATTTGTTCAATTGCGGGCAACAAAGCAGGAACATCCTTTGTGTCGAACGATGTAAGCTTCTCCAACTCAAAGATTAACTCAATCACTTGCAACGTTGTTTTGACCAAATTGTTGAGCTCAATGATAGCTTGGCGATGCTTTTGCACTGCTGCAGGCCGTGTGAGCACTGGCACTCGCTTCAAAAAAGCCACAGATTTTGCAATAGGGTCTGTTGGTTGATGCTGAGCCAGAAGCCAGAACTCACCATATTCCATTGCAAAAGCCGCAAGTGTCAACACTGCTTTTGCATCCCATTCATAGTTTGAAAGCTTCACAAGTATGGTCATTGTGGTTTTGTGAGCAATTTCCTCTCCTGCAGGCTTGCATGACATCTGTCATCATTCAAAATGTTGATGTCAGAAATTTATTTAAGTTTTTTATCATTCTTGTAAACAAATATAACTTTTTTCTTTAGGTCCTGTCACGAGTATTCCTAGTGATTGATTGCGTTTGTAATACTGTGACTACTGCTAATCCAATTAATTATACATATATAATTTATATTTCTTTTATTTGTTTGGATTACCTCAGAAGAGATTTGCCTGAGGGTACAGAGTGGTGAATTGAAGTTGGCTTGGGGGATCTTGTCTTCCACCTGCTCTAGGCTTGCTTTGGAACCCTGTGAAGTAAAGATTAATTAATAATCACAAATGCATGGAAATATGAGAAAAACAAAAAGGGGTTATATATATTTATATAATATATTAGTGTGTGTACCTGGACAACAGTGTCAACAATGAGGGTTGAACGCCTAAGGGTGTTCTCAACAAGAATGAAAAGAGAGTCTACATCGAACTTAGTGTGACTGTGGACATGGGTTGAGTAAATTTGCTCCAATATCTGCTCATCGGACATGCTTAACGGGTTGTGCTCAGAACTAGTCTCAGAAGTTCTGTGAAAGAGAGACTTTAGTGAGTGTTTGCTAGCCATTATGATTTATGCTCACTCTCAACAATAGTAACCAAGTCTTGAGAGATGGAAAGATGCAAAAAATGAGAGTTGGGTCGAGATGATTAACCAGAGCCCCACTCTATTTATAATGTGGAGAGGTCATTCATTTTGGTGGCTAATCTTTCTCAGATAGATTTAGTTCCTAAGATTTTAAAAAATCTTCTCTATATCGACTAGATAGTACGAAACAAAAGTTTGCACAAAACAAACGAAATATTAGCATCAATGGAAAATTTTAAAACAAATATTGATTAAAATTAAAATTAAATAAAATATGATTTTACAGAAATCAAAGCTTCGTGCTTTTGTTATGAAAAGTGTTTAGCATTTTTCTTATATAAAGTATCATTCACTTATGTTTATTTTGATGTAAATTAATAATACAAAATAGTGGTCTATTATGCTCAAAAGATTGTTTCTAGATTTTTTTTGGGTAGCAATGGTGTTGGTGGTTCACAATATAAAAAGTTAAAAATATAAAAATAAAAATAAAAAGTAGAAAAATTGAAGTAAAAGACATTTTTTTAAAAATCAAATATTAAGTTTTGAAATCTTACAGACTCTACAATTTTAATGACTAATTTGAAGATTTGCTTGATTAGATATAGTTAATTAACTTTATATGGATATTCATCAGTAATATAATTTATGCATTAGCTTTGCATTTTTACCTCTTCTAAGTAGATTGAACCCAATATCATTGTGGTTACCTTATCTCATTCTATGTAGCATGTTTGGAAATACATTATATAGCCAAAAATTCACGTCCCTCATGGGAAAATGCAAAAATTAAAATTAGTAGTTTTCGCTTTGATGTGAAAAATTACATTCGTGCTTCTTTTTCAAACCCATACCAGACTGGAATTTAGTTAACATGGAACTGAGAGCCTTCAAATTTGTCTACGATAATATATATGCATGGTAAGATCTTAAAAATTCAAAATCTAGAAAATATGACTTGTATAGTATCATTCGCTAAGACATAAAAAAAACACAAAAAATAAAATAAAATAAAATGAATGATATGATTTTAATTTTATTTTTACAAAATCAGGTATTGATAGAATCATAGAATCATAGAATTTTTTAAAATATCAAAAACTATAATATATGACTTATACAATTCATTGATATGCAATATCCATTGGTTTTCCGTAAATTTTGTTGCATTTAAATTCTTATTTAATTTGTTGAATGACTAAAATGTTTGTTTTTTTTGCAGGGAATGTTAATTTTAGTTAATGTCAGTAATATTAAGATATATATAAATAAATAAAGCTACTTTTCCAAAATTGAGAAGTTTCCAATCAGAGTTTGTTAAGGGAATGGAATGGTTGTGCTGAACGTTTGTTTAAGAGGGATGGATCATTCTCTGCCTACGGGTCTTCATAGAATCTTTATCTCTCATTCTTCGTTTTCTTTTGTTTTTTTATCCCTCGTGCCATTCCCAAAAATTAGTTGTGTCCCTGTTCATCATGCATGTTGCTCCATGTTTAAAAAATATAATAAATTCTGCATCATTCATGTTGTTGAAAAGATAGAAAAGAGAAAAAGAGATACACAATGATGAAAAACATTACGTAGAAAAATTGTGTTGTTGGTAAACTATATATATTGTCCTACCTTTTCTTTCATTCAATAATTTGGTTTTTAATCACCTTTATGTGCTTAGTTGTTCTATATATTAGCGATCATTCAACACAACCTCTTCATAGTTATCTTTGCGTGCCATAAGACATTGTGATCACCCATTATATATGAACTTTGGATGTTTGGTTATGCCTTATTATGTACTTTTTCTTTTGAACTGTCTTGTTATGTTTGTTTGATGCTTAATATTCGTACTGAAGTTCAAATTTAGGACATGCATATTACCTTTGCCTTTCGTCACTCAACTAACTCAAATAGTTGAAACTGTTGTCATATGCATCTCATTGTGTTAGATGCATGTTTGATTAATTTGAGCCCTCTAGTCTTGTTGACATTTGTTATTCATCACGTACAGTTTCTCTTGGTAGGTGAGAAAATTGCTGTATCGCTTAGCAAAAATGATTGTGAAAGGATGTAAAAGTTAATAGTGCTCTTAGGCAGTGGCAAACTTAGTACCTTAAGTTATTTAAAAAAATAGAAAAAAAATAATAGTAACTATACATATATATAAATTACATAACTATGACATGAAAAATAATACTCATTAATAATGAGAAGTGAGATAAAAAGATATCAACATATAAGAAAAAATTAGTAACAATTAAGAAATTAAAAATTGTGGGTTCAAATTATAAATTTAGGGAGACAAAAAATTCATAACTCAAAACAAAGACATGAATTATTTTTTAAGTCCAGGGATGCAAATACACTCTCTCAAGGTACACAACCATTGTTCTTAGGCGTGAACAAGTGAATTTAATTTTGTTTCCCCTTTTGTTCTTTTCCATTTATAATATTTTTGAAATAATGAGTCTATAGATATTTATGTATTTGTTTGAGTCTTGAGTAAATATTTTTTTCTTCACTCTCAACTAATTTGAAGGTTTCATCTTTATATTTTATTATATCTATCGAGTTAATATGTTTGTCTCAGAACATCATGGTATTTCACGCTAAATAGATTAAAATGTTAAAATTTAATTTAAAAAAAAAAAAGAAGATAAATGGAAACAGGTTAGTAATTTATATAAAAGGGTTATCATTATATTACGAATTTGACACATTATGTTGTTTTTATCTAGTGACTTGATTGAACCAATAGAACTAATTTAATTTTGATTGAGTTGTTTGGTTAAAGTGTATCACATTTTGAGAAAATTTGAATTGAAAAAAAAATGATTGATTTGAATTATATTTTCATTCTTATATTGTGCAATACACATTAGTAATGTATATCATATTCTTAATCATGTTTTAAATTCAAGACCATTTTGCCCTTACATACCTATCTACGTTATTTTGATATTTTCCCCGTCTAATTTCTTATTAAGGATATTAAAAATTAGTAGGTTAACTTGTATATTGCATAGGCTAAATATTTATAATGTATAATCAAATTTTTAATAAATTATACATACAAATAAATATTATATTTAAATTTATAAATTATATTAAAAATTTGTATAATAAATATTTTAATAAATATAAATTATATTTTATATTTATGATAAATATTTATAATTTGTGACATAATATATTTTTTAATTATTGATAATTAATTTTAAAATATTAAATTTAATTTTATAAATAAATATACAAAATAAAATTGAATAAGATGAAAAGTTATAAGAATCTCTATAAACTCTCTCTTAAAAAAATGTTTAAAAAATTATCGTACAATATAACCAATCGTATTTAATATATAAAAATAATTAGTATTTTAAATGCTTATTAATATTTTTAAAAATATTAATATTTGTCTTTTCTAAACTAAAATAATTATGGCATTGAGTAATTTGAAAACATTTGCCTGTGAATTAAAATTTTAGAAACTTTGAATTAAAAAGTTGATTTAGTAAAAAAATTGAGTTTTTATTATACTTTGTTTTAAAAACAATTGAGTTGATAGAAAATTCGGTGGCTTAATTTTGAAGCCCAAATGGGAGTGAAGATTTTGTGTATTTTTATCCCTAGAAATCCCTCGTCTCAGCTCCAGAATTAGTGGCCCAAAAAGATGAAGTTTGTGACTTTTAGTTGAATTCTTTTTTCCTTCCCTTCTAATTGGCCACATTGCATTTCTCACTTGGACCCAACTTCTAGCTACATTTTTAAATGGGCTGGGCGCCCTCTGTAGCCCATAAGTGAGTTAGTGGGTTTAGTTAAATCCAAGAGTTGCAATTTGCTTCTTGCTTTCAGACTGTGTGATTAAAACTGAGTGATACTTAAAAGGGGTGAATTGAGTTTTTTTTATTATAAATAATTTCAAAACAGTTTGTGAAATTTTGGATAGAATATGTGTATTGGATAGATTTTGAAATTTTTTAGAAACAATTTAAATGATTATCAACGCTAGCTATAACCCAGTTATCAATTTTAATGGAGATAATAACAAAAATATTTATTAAAATTGAAAAAATCCTTAGAAATAATTAAATTGATATAACATGCTTGAAACTCAATGTTTAATTTCAAAATATAAAAATAATAAAATCAAAATGCTCGAATATAAAAGATAAGGATTGAGAAAAGGACATTAATTATTTATTCTAATTGAGTCACCACCTATCAGTATTCTAATTTACTTAAAGTTGTCTTTAAATTAAAGTTGACAAAATGGGAGTTTTCCAAATTAACTCAAATATGCTCGATAAATTAGAGGGTTTTCCTTATAAATTTTAAGTCAAAATTAAATGTAGAGTTTTTATCTCAGTTTTATAAAACTTGTATCATGAATAGGTTCAGTTTTGATCGGGTTGACCTTTTCAGGTCATAGACCGCTCACTTTTTTAAATCTAATTTTGCAAAGTAACTAAAAACAAGTTTAATAATTAAAATATAAAGATTAATAAAAGTATCAGGTCAGGTATATACAATTTACAAGTCTCTCATAGAACCTGTTTAATAACTTTATTTGACTTCTTGAAAGTTTTGTCACTTAAGCTAGGAGGTCTGGTACTATTATTGGGGTAGAATAACTTAAATATGAGTCTACTACTACATTAGCCTGCAAAACTAAGTCTCCTATGTGATTAGCCCACCAATTATCTTTCAAATACTATGCCCTTTGAGTACTTAGTTAAGAAACTAAGTTCCCAACCTTGAACCTCACCCAATTGGTTACTTTATACATGTATACTTTGACCTTATCTACATACGAATATTACATAAAACTTAGAGGAGAAAACTTAAAAACAACTACCCATTCAAAAACCAACTTACTTATTAGGGTTTCAACTTGAGCTCACAAACATTACAACTTATATCTACATAATGAGATATTTTAATTTTTTAAATAATTTTTTTTCTTCTCTAATTATTATGTATCTCAATTAAGATAACAACATACAACTTCTCAATTTAATCATCTATCAGATTACATCTTAATAGAATACATATCATCATATAATATATCAACTTGAAA